CGCGAAATCCCTTTTCGTTCATTAGACTTACTACAGTTCGGATTCAATGTCGCGGTTCTGAATCTAATCTCGCAAAGTGCAATGCAAGACCGATAAATCACCAAAGAGTCCAAATCCGACAAATCGTTTTGGAAAACTGATTTTTGTAAAGAAGTGCCAAACATGGACTGCTTTTCCAGATACAGAGTCACCACCTAAATATTGTATTTTGGGGGAATTTAGTAAACCCTGACTCGTGCCTAAGGCCATATGTCCGTCATCACTAAAGTTGCCTCGGCTCGAGAACTTGGGTACGAGAGGAGAAGGTCATGCAATGAGCTCCCCTGCTCGCCCGATCAAAGATCGGCCTTTATTAACATGATATGTTGTTTTTGAAAACACATGTGTTCTTCTTCCGGTTTATTAGCTTACTATGTGATGCACACATCATACAAGTATAGACTAGATCGCCTAACTTAGAACAAAACATTGCATATTTGTTTATTTGAAAACGATTTGAAGTTTGCTACTCGTAAGTAGGCTAAATCGAAGACCTCAATGAATTGCTCAAATTCAAGTAATCCAACCTTCATCCATAGGCATTCAGGCAGTTAAACACTTAAGCAGTTAGCATCATGGCAAGTATGCTTTCATGGCAACAATAACACACATGCAGTATGCTAAAGCATAAACACTCACAGTGTACTCCGAGCCAAAACAGAGAACTAGTTAGCAATCAATGCATGATCCTAGTTCATGTTAAGATGGCTAATGCAACACATGCGAAAATGCATCTAAAGTAGGCTCGGCTATTCTAAGATGGCATATGAAATGCAACTTGATAACATGCTATTGAACACGTATTCAAGTAATGTATTGAAAGTACAATGCGGTTAGTATGATGCGCCGAGTCTGGTGTATGCAATACAGATGAATGGATGCACGCATGCAAAGCATAAGGTATGCTAATTAAAAATGACCCTAAACTAACCATCGAAAGCGGTTAAGTAAAAGGGAGAAAGAAATGGAGGTTGGAAGACATGAATCACACACACACCCTTATTACAAAATTCGCCCTCTCGACGGAGGGTCTGAATAAATAAAACAAACCAACTAATTAACTAACTAACAAGATAATTAATTATTACACAACCAAATTGAATAATAAGCAATCTACTTACTAATTATTATAACACTTAATTAATTAACAAATTAACTAATTAAATTACAAATTGAAGCTAACTAACAAGTAAGCATTAAACTAAGCTGCACCAGCTCTGTTTGAAGAAGAAAAGGATGCATGCTCTCACTCGGTTTCTCGCCTCGAAACACCTTCTGGTTGCTCTCTTGAGGCTCTATTTGTAGGGCGTCTTCAAGAACTTGCTGCTGGAACTTACCAAAAGAGTGTTGGGGAGTGCACCAGTGGCCTGCCGGCCATGAGGAGATGCTGCCGACCCCTCTACCGACCAAGAGTGCATACTGCCGGCCACAAATGAAGATCTACGAGCCAAAAGTGGGTGGGTGCCCGCCACTGGTGTGCTGTGACACCAAGCTGCAGCAGAGCACAAAATAGAGAAAATTGAGGGTCTCCCAAGGGTATATACATACTATGCCACTCCATATCATCTCAAAACATCAAGAGAGAGGCACCGTTGGATCCAAAACCATCAATCACGCATTTCGATGCATGATGGCCAAAGATCCAACTTGTACGAATTTCAATAAATGCATGACAAATAAGACACTTAGACCATCCCCTTATCATGAGGAATCAAAGGCTATGGAGACCAATGATGATTGGCTCACTTCATCACTTCAAGTATGAAATGAACCAATCTTCCTCGTGTTCAATACGACATCCGATTGAACACAATGCAAAACATGCAAACAACATGAACAACCTAACAAGGCTAAGGCATGCACAATGCACAATGCTATAGCATACACAATGCTAAATGACAACTAGCATATGCAATGCAATGATCATGGCATACACAAATGCAATGAACTATATGGCATACACAATGCAATGGACTATATAGCATACACAATGCTATAAATTACATGGCATACACAATGCTCAATGGATTTAACCAAAATGGGTAGAGCTCAGCCATGCCCAAATTAGTGGCCATAATGATGAAACAATGGCATGAAATGCACATACAAACATTCATACACTTTGGTTCGCAAACAAGGTATGAAGACAACAACTCTCAAGCATGAGCAATGAATGAAAAGCATGGATGTATGACAATACTATAGGCCCTGAAATCATGCATGGAATGGTGCCAAACCACTCACATAACACAAGGATAGCATGCAAGAAAGCTCAAAGCTTAAAACTAGCAAAGGGACTTAAACCATGGCCATGCAAAGCTAGCCCCAAAGGGCCAAGGGCAACCAAAACAGTCCCAAGGCAGGTCAAAATAAGACCAAAAACATGCTAAGATAGAGACTCAAAGACCTAGGCATGCGAGCAAATTAGTGTAGTTTGCACACTTAGAAACATGATAGAAGCTTCCTTTAAAATTAAGATTTCATGTTACCTTTATGCTGCATATGTATTGTGTTATTTAGGAAGTTTACTTCATTATCTTTCTTTTTATTACATTATTGAACTAAAAGATTTTCATGATTTTTTTCCCGCCTTCCTTTCTTGTCATCGAGTAATAATTATTTTTATCGCTTTGATAATTTATCTTTTTGCTCATATCTTGTAAATACGTGTGTAAGTTTATTTTTAGTTTATAAAGAAAAATTCATGCTAACTAGAGACTAATCACATGGTTAAGTTAAATGGGTACTTAATTCATTCATATTAATTCATTCATAATTAGTAATATAACTTGGCTCCCGAACTCATTTTCAGTTGGTAATGATGGAACTAACGCTTATCCTTGGAGGTTCATATATAAAGTTTCCCGAGACATATAATCAGGTGGCAACTCTTTAAATCAATTAAACCCTTTTTTGAACCTCCGGTTTCCTTTGGGACATCGTTTACTAGATTGTTCTTTTACCAGTGTCGGCCCCGAAAGCCCCACCAAGTTTTATTAGGAGGAAAGACCAAATGTGGTCTACCACACACACACCCTGCCGTTAGGGGTGCCAGCCCCGAAAGCCCCACCAAGTTTTATTAGGAGGAAAGACCAAATGTGGTCTACCACACACACACCCTGCCGTTAGGGGTGGGCATCTGTCAGTTGGCCCACCTAACCTGCTCAATCCGACCTTATTTTTTTAGGATTTGAGAAAGTTATTTTAACTGATAGGGTTGGACTAGACCAATATTTTCAGCTCGATATATTAATGGGCTGTACTTGGGATTTATATTTTCAACCTAGCTCGACTTGTTATTAAATCAGTTAATTAATTATAATATATATTTTTTGTTGAGATGTATACTTTATATTTATTGATTTTATTAAAACTTACATTTGTAGTGATGTGTGCTTGAATTTATTTAAGAAATTCTTCAATTTATACATTAAATCCTTTAATATATAATAATGTTAATATATTTATTTAATAAATATAATATGTGATTGAATTTAATTATAGAATGTTTTAATTTTTTTTAACTTATAATCTGATGGGTGAGCTTAGGATTTGTAACTATTTTTTGGGTCGGACTTGGGCAAATGTAAAGGACCGATGTTAGGACTGGGCCGAGTTTAGACAAACAAAAAATCTTTTATTATGTAGTATTGGCCCAACCTGACGAATGCTCACCTTACCTGTCGCTATCCCAAGCTGAACTGGGCTAAGATGTGGGCCAGTCATTTATAGTATATTAATTTTTTGACAAAGTTTATTTAAATTAAAATAAATTTTTTATTTAAATAAATCCGTGATTGTTTATTTATTTGGGTCAAAATCGAATCGGGTGCAATCCATAATTGGAACCCACTACTGTGAGTTGTTCTATTGCACCTCTTCCATGGAACATGCCTTTTCAATCTAAATAGTCATCGTGGCCTTTCAAAAAAGCATGAATTTGCTTATATAACAACACCATTGCATTCATTCTGCTTCAAAATTAATTCATCTTCTCTCCATTCTAATCTCTACTTTCTGTCAAAGAGAGTACACCACTTTGTTGGTTCACCAAACTCGCAGATTGAAGTGTTACTTCTACTAGGTTCTTGATCATTGTATCTTAAGATATGGATGTCCATTCAACTCGTGAGCACTGGAGTGAGGGGCGAATTAAGTCTTAAGAACACTGTGGCAAACACAAGCCTCAATCACTTACTACTCTTTGTGGATTTCCAGAATTTTTACATTTTGTTCGTAAGTTATTATTTTCAGTTTAATTTCTGAATTATTTTTGGTTTATCATTGGTTTCACACACAAGTACACAAGATTGTCCAACAATTTGTTTGTTAGCTTTTTTATATCTCATATTTAGCATAACATATACTATGTGAAAGCAAGGATTGATCCAAGGGGCGGTGACCTCACTTTCAAAAATTTGAAAAAAATCCTCATATTATACTTTTTAGTAAGAAAATTTTAAAATCATGACATTTCACATTACCAAAATTATAGAGGTTCGCATGCCCAAAACTTTAGAGCTTGCATCCCCCAAATTAACTATAATGACTAAATTTTAAACTAATTTTTAAAACAAGTTTTTATCAAACATTAGTCTCCCCATTCTTATTTATGTTTACTTTGGGGTATACTCTTTTATTTAATATGTGAGTTGTGTCATATATATTTTTTTTCATATATCACAATAGTTATTTATTTTTTATTTTTGTAGTTAATACAATCAATAGAATATACTCAACTGTACGATCATAATTTTATAGTCAAACTATGTTGATAAATGAGTTGTTTAGTTGATGATAATATTATTGATTTATATATATATATTAGTATTGCATTTTAAATTTTTCAACAAATTTTTCGATTAGGAGTCATATACTTTGACCTAGTGTTATAATCGTGGATCCATCTCTTATGTGAGAGAGCGTGTTGGATTTTGATAATATATTTTTTCTCTATGCAGGGACGCAAGAAAATGGGAAGAGGGCATTATCTTCAACTAAAGAGTGAACAGATGGACTCAAACAAACTTTTCTTATCTAAAAAATCTGAATCTTTTGTATGATCTTGATTGTTGTCGAGAATTTATATACATATATATGTGTGTGTTTGGGACATTGAAGTTTCCTAGTATCTTGGGATAATGGCTTTGTCTTTGGCCAAATCTGTAGTGTGGATGTGGATTGTTAAGAGTGATATAATCCACAATGAAGTAACTTGAATAATTCAGATTCACATCAGAATCAGAAGGGTGAAGTTCTTCGTCGGTTAATGTTAATCGGTTCGATTTCTTCACGGATAGGGGCATACCCACCTTTTTTGGAAGGATCGGAAATTAATTTCATGCGGGTCAATGTACTTAATGAGAGTGGTGCATCGTTTGGCCAATGATGTCCTGACGCCATTGAATATGTCATTGGAAAGGGAGAAACCAATCAACATGATGATGTTCCATACAAAGGTTATGTTCATTTAATAATGGTTAGGACCCAAACTATTTGGAACTTAAAGTTGGGTCCTTAAACGTGTGTATAAATAGTAGAACTAATATATGTTGTTACACTAGTTATCTATTTGATCTGTAGTGTAACATGTGGACACGACATTTTTTTTTATGTTTTCCATTGGGTAGTGTTATATTTATGAGACTTTTATGTTGTTCATATCTAACAACATTGATGGCCTTTAGTTTTTGGCCTGTATTTTCGTAGTGTGCATTGCAATCCTTTATATATATGTTCTTTGTTTGAGGATTGTTTTGGGTCATATTTAATGTCAAATCTTTCTGGGTTTTAATACAAAATTCAATTTTGGTTTAATCAGACTTCATTTAGAAGATTAGTTTTTAAATCTTTGTTTCTAAACTCTCAATTTAAATTATATTTTAATTGGGGGGCTTGAATATTGGCTATACTGTTTATATTTTATATTGTGGTTCAATTCTATCATTTTGGATTAGAAGTTGTTTGTGGAGTTTCATTCTTGGGTAGATAATTTAATTATCTTTTTTTCACAAATATTTGTTTTGAATGAATAAACGATGATTCTATCAAATATAAGTTAGAGCACTATTGGGGACCCCAGCACCCCCACCTCCACGTGGGGGGCTGTGCTAGCAAGTTAAAAATAAAAAATAAAAAAATTCAGCTAATCAAAAATCAGTGGGGGTTGTGGGGGTCACCCCCACTGAGAGTCCCCCCACTGGGGGTCCAAAATATTTTCCTATAGGTTATGAGTTGTGATAGTGACACTTGTCTAACGATGAATCATGTTTTTATGTTAATTTGTATATTATCACAAATATGGGGGAGAGAAGCAGAGTTGTCTGTTAATCGTGATTCATATTAAGAGTTTGAATCTTGATTTGGAGGTACAAATATTTTTCTTGATTACATTATAAGAATTTATACAATCAAATGAGGTTTTGAATTGTTTGATTGTTGGGCAAAATCTTTATGAGGATATTTGATTTTGTTTAAGCATTAATTCTAATTATTATTGGTTTTTCATTTCATAAATTTGATTTAGAATTTTGTTAGTCAAGCATGCCATAGTCAACAAATGATGGATGTTATCTTCTGATTTATGTCAAAATTGTGGAGGTGTATTAAATAGGAAATAATTTTTCTTAAAATACGTGAAGGATTTTACTAAAGTAACGATTCCGATAGTAGATTCACAAAGAATCTCAATTCTTTCTATAAGATAAAGTTGGAGTAGAAGTAAAAATTATTTCATTAACTCCTATATGAAACATCTCTATCTCTATTATTTGAATTTAACAAATATGCGTGACATAGAGTAACGGTAAGTCATGATTTATTCAAAGACTTAATATCATAGGGCATTTGTTTTCGGATGTAATATTCATTTTAGGCATCTGGCGAAATGTCCATGTTTGCCAAGCAACCTCGTGAACTCTTCTGCTACTTACATATCTCCAGTCTCTTTCAAGTATACTACACATGCTGTTAAAGTAACATAATTAAGTTTCCATCCACGTTGATCAGCCATGATTGCCTTCTTCATTATCTCCACTGCCTTTGCCATCTGGTTACTCTTCTTTTACCATGTGTATGTTTCTCCAATTTCTTTAGCATTTCCAAACTTTTTTCGAAAAGTCCAGCTTTCAAGTAGCCATTTGCTACTATAATATAAGCATTCCAATCCATGGTGAATCGATGATCACTTTCCATCTGTGTAAGAAGCCTTTCCATTCCCTTTATGTTGGACACAGCTGCATATGCATTCAACCGGATGTATACTGTGGATCTCTCACAACTGATGCCCTTCTCTTCCATCTCTTTGATGAGAGAATCAAACTTTTCTTGCTATCCCATCTTTGAATAGAGATTCAGCATAACGTTATAAGACAGTAATTTTTTCAAAATCCCAAACTCCCTCATCTTCTGCATGATGGTCTCTGCTTTAGCCATGGATTTCTTGTTGGCATAGCAATTCAATAGTGAATATTGTCTAAGGACAATATAATGGATCCACTAAATACTCAATGACATATAAAGAAGAAAGTGAAATAGAAAATAGTGGCCGCTAAATAAAAAATTTGGCTAGAGAGCAAATGAGAGAAAGTTCATTAAATGAAATGTGATTAAAGCCTATTAATTTTGAGTTACCATAATGGCCCCAACCTAAGTGACTGGAGATCTCAAGATCTAGATTCAAAGGGACAACCAAATTATGAATGACTCATCAGAAATCACTAAAAGAGTCTATCTCCTATCCATTCATATAATAAGAGTGATATCTGTAATATGTGTTATATGCGGGCAACTTAAGATAAACTATACTTTTAATGATTACTTATATCTTAAAAAACTTAGAGTGGTATCTTTCAAGAGAAGTATTTAAGAGACTCGAAATAAGAATTATCCATATGAGTGTGAAGAGGCCACTTCTATAAGAATTGATAAGGCTGAATTTTCTAAAGCACTCACGAAAACCAGGAATTGCTCAAGGCCAAAACGGGCACAACCGAAAAAACTAAGCTGTGTTTGGAGATGTTTTGTGTAAATTCTATTGTCTTGACTTACATAAATGGATGAACAGTTTAAGGCATCACATCCACTGATTGGCTAGTAAGTCCGATAGTCTTTCACTAAGGAAGATTCAAGGCCAAAAACTACCTATCCTGATGTAAGATATTTCCATCTTGTACTCTCTTTATCAGTGTTTGCATTTCATTTGCATTATGTCGTCAATTTCATTCATGTGGGAGAGTGAATGGAATTGAACTCCATTTGAATGAAAGGGTGTAACCCTTCATGGTGTCTTTTCATATGAAATAGTATGAACACAAGAGACATGACCAATCTAAAGATCATGAGTAATTCTTTAAATACCATCCCATCTTATGGCATTCATGCAGAAGTTAAGGTTTGTTTTAGGATCCATATATTATGTCTAGTCGAGTATATAAGAAAGAGTGCAAAACACAAATTAGTTCACTGTACACACAAAAAGTTATGCAATTTTTGTGTGGGGTGATCATTGTATCCAGAAAGTAGGATGTCTATTAATCGCAAGCACCAAAGGCAAGGGCGAAATTTGTCTTAAAAATACAGTGTTCAAACACTAACTTCGGTCACAATCTGTATTAAATTTACCAAGGCTCTGTTTGGTAAGCATATGAAAATATAGTCCTACCCATTGATTTGACTGTGTTGTTTGTTTGGAGCTTTCAAATCATAATTCTACACCAATTTCTCAAAACTCAATTCAAAACATAATCATTACTTTTCAAAACTCATAACCAAACACATAATTCAAAACTCTTTTTAAAACTTAATTCAAATCAATATTTTAATTTTTTAAATATTTTAAATATTTAAATATTTTAAAAATATTTTAATTTTGTTAAGATTTTAAATATTTTAATATTTAAATATGTTACGATTTTTTTAATTTTTTAATTCTTTGAATATTTTTAAATATTACGATTTTAGTTTTTAAAATTTTAAAATATTTTATAAAAATAAATTCAAACTCTATTTTATAAAAATATTTTTAAATATTTTAATTTTTTTGTTATGTATTTGGTTATGATTTGAGTGTAGAGTTGTGAAAGTAATATGGAGTTTCGAGTTATGTGTTTGGTTATGAGTTTTAAAAATAATTTCTTAATTGAGTATTGTTTTGTGTATTTGGTTACGATTTGAGTGTAGAATTGTTTTTAAACTTAAAATATTAAAATTTTAAATTATTTAATTTTTTACGATTTAAATTTTTTGAATATTTATTTTAATTTTTTTACTTATTAAATTTTTTAGATTATTTAAATTATTTAAATATTTATGATTTAAAATTTTTGAATATTTATTTTGAAAAAAAATTATTTCCTTTGTAGTATTTTCAATTAAAAAATTGATTAATGTTATTTTCTGTTAATAATAATTTTTTTTAATTGAATTTTAAAAAGAGTTTGGTTATTTGTGTTGATCAGAATTTTCAATAGTGTGAAAGTAGTGTGTTTTGTTATGAGTTATAATAATTTGAATTAAGCTTTGAAAACTCTTTCCAAAACTCATGACAAAACAAATTTTCTTACTTCACATGTCAAATCAAACTTTCAAAACTCAATTCCATACTCAATTCAAAACTTAATTCAACATTCTATTCAAAAACCATAACAAAACAAATTTTTTACACTCAAATCATAATTTTACAACTCACAAACTCAAAATATAACTCATACTCTCAAATCATATTTACAAAACTCTACCAAACACAACCAAAATTCCTAAAAGAAATTTCTTTTTATTTTATTTTGTTATTTATTTGCATTAAATTATTTTTTTCGAAAAATAGTTTCCTACACAATAGAGGTTATGAATGCAATTTGAAGTGGCTTGAGATTTAATTTGCTGTTGAGACTGTAATTTTTAGGTTTGTTTGACTAATTGATTGATCCATGCTGTCTATTAGTCTTCTTTCTCTCAATTGTACTGCAGCTCTTTCTTTTTTCTAATAAATTTATGTTTTTTGCAAATCAAAAGAGAAAAAAAAAAAAAGAAAAAAAAGAGAGACGGTAAATTTTATTGACTTTCCCTTAAGTTCTCTCTCTCTCTCTCTCTCTTTTTATTATTATAATAATTTTAAGAATTTCCCTTGAGATCTTTGAAATAAAACTGCTCATCCACCCAAATGCCGTTAACGGAGTTTGTTATTTTACAAATTTACCCTTATAATTAAATAATTCATTTTTTCTCATGGAAATTCATTGCTTTTGTTTTGATTTCTAAAAGCTTCAATTTTGGCTTCACATAGGATTGATCCCCAAAATTTTCAGTTTGTTGCTTTGCATGTAGGCCGCATACTGGGTTTCAATTACTTCCATTTTTTTTGGATTTTTAAATTTCTGTATGTAAAATGTTTGAAACCCCCTTTCCCTCTCACCTCCTTTGACTCCATTTCCCTCCCATTGGCCAGTTTTTCTTTCTATTTTTTTTCTTTTCCTTCTCCTCCAATTACCACCCACCACGTGTGTGTATGGGGGGTGGTGGGAGTGGTATCAATGCTCTTGTTTGATTGTGGGTGTCTATATAAATTTTGTTTATCATACTTTTGCAATTAAGTTGTGCTCTTTTTTTATTTCCTTTGTGACATGTAATCACTTGAAACGAAAGCAAATATATGGTAGG